CACGACACTTGCCGCATGGAATGAGAGGGAGACCCGGCCTAAGTCGCTTTGGAAACCCATGAGAGGCCGATGACCCGGAAGCGATTGCCATCTACTCTCTATACTCATTTTTAATACACTATAAATTTCTCCTTTTATAAACAAATAAAATTAAGAAACTATAAAATTATCTAGATCTCTAAACAATGATATTTTTAATGGTCATTGTGTTCTCGCTCTTTTATTTGCGGCGGTAGTAAGTAATTCACATGATATTTCCATAAATTAACGAAAGAATGGGAGTGTACACATAACGAGACTACTACGCGACGATATCGGGACGTGTGAATAAATAACCATCCGTACTAGTTGACCTTGCTTACGTGATCATCTCGGCGAGTATTTCTCCACCGGACGGCACCGTGCCAGCCACGGAAGAGCTCCAATTCTCACGAGGAAGGGAACACGGTCTTCCACGACCGTTGCCGCTCTCCCTCGTAGAATCAAAGCTCCTCCTTGACGTCCGTTACCGCTTCGGCAGAAACGTGCTCGCCGAGATGAACACGGTCCGCAAGTTCAACTAGTATGGATTTTCTATAATTTTCTAACTATTTTCTAAGTTTATATTTATATATATACTATGTTTGGAGTACGGTGATTGACGTACTATCTGCGACGATATCGTAACATGTGAATAAATAACCATCCGTACTAGTTGACCTTGCTTACGTGATCATCTCGTCGAGCATTTCTCCACCGGACGGCACCGTACTTGGCCACGGAAGAGCTCCAATTCTACGAGGAAGGGAACACGGTCTTCCACGACCGTTGCCGCTCTCCCTCATAGAATCAAAGCTCCTCCTTGACGTCCATTACCGCTCGGCAGAGAACGTGCTCGCCGAGATGAACATGGTCCGCAAGTTCAACTAGCTACTTTAACCTTATTTCATGTAAATATGCAAGCTTGAAGTGATTTTGAGCTCAAATTGCTTACAAATGAAAAAACCACAATAAAGAACCATATATATATATATAGTGAACAAAATGAGATAAGACAATGGTGAAAAATGAGAGTATGAGATTGGTAACCTTTACAACTGAAGAATCGACGAAGGAATCGAATAATGGATGGAGGGACAATGGAGGGAGGGAGGAAGCAAGAACACTAGTGCAGTGAGCTTCAAAATGTGCTGAGCTCGGGCTCGGGGAGGAAGAAGGAGACGGCTGGGATAAAAAGGGATGACCTTTAGTCCCGGTTGGTGGCTCCAACCGGGACTAAAAGTAACTTTCCAACCCCGGGCGCAGCCACGGCCCGGGAGTAGACCTTTACTCCCGGTTGGAGCCACCAACCGGGAGTAAAAGTATACCTTTAGTCCAGGTTGGTGGCTCCAACCGGGACTAAAGATCCCTGCCACCTCTATCTGGCGCAGTAGCCGTTGGGGCAGGGACCTTTAGTCCCGGTTGGAGACACTAACCGGGATTAAAGGTATTTCTAGTCCCGGGCGCAAAAAATTCCGGGACTAGAGCCCATTTTGACCAAGGATCAAAGGTATGTTCTCTACTAATGGTCCAATTGATCAAAAGGCACATATTGTTTTATCTTTTGCCTTTTGTTTTTGTATTTTCCCCTAATCTCTTTTAAATCTTAATTTGTTGTTCTTAATTTGTATTGATGATGTTTGAGGGTTCGTACCAAGCCCATTAATGCTTGGTCAACCCAAGCTGCACCTTGCCTCATTTTGGTCTTTCATGGAATCCAACGAAACCGATCAAGACAATATGCTAAAACTGGATAGTCCTAGTGTTTTTATATAGGCACTGTGAAGTTTGCATTGGGAGTTGCATGTTGAGTGTTCGTGTAGCGGCGTTTTCCAGTGCTAGCGGTGATTATATCACCAAGACATGTTATTTTCTTTGGTTATTTGGTGGCGGTGAACAAGGATCGATATAGGGAGAGTCAAACAAGTTCAAATTTCAACAAATCAACACTCTGTTTGACCTTTGCTCGCAGCCATCAAATGTTGGCCATTACTTATGAGGAAGAAAATTTGACATTTTTGTTTTGTTCGAAGTTGGGATGAAACCAACACTATGAGAGAGAAAATAATAGATAGGGGATGAAACTTTGGGGCTGCTACTGGAGTTGGTTGCTAAAAGTAAGTACGATCTCCCATACTCAAGAAGTAGAGACCTTGATTTAGGGGCTATTGCTAAAGATGCTCTTAATGTATAATCCTATGTAACATGCTAGTGGGTTTTCTTTGTTATATATGTCACAGAGGCTTGTGTGGTGGTGGGTCGTAGGTAGGTCACTTACACATCAAGTCAATAAGCGAAGTGGCACCCGCAGACACCTACAGTACTAGGAAATGACAGAGGCGGTAAAAACCTATCCCTAGTGGAAGTTTTAGCTAGCCCTGCCTCTATCTCATGGTACGACCACATGAGATTGATTTTCAGAGGTGTGTTTAGCTTAGGTAGCCAACATCTACAAATTAATTTTCATAATCAAAAAAGCAAAAGAAAACTGAACCCTGGACCAACCCACTCCCTAAGCACTGCGGTCGTGTGTTGGAAGTCATGAGCTATGCTATTTTTTTTTTCTGCTCATGCGTTTCGTAGGATTCAAATCCGAAACTACCCTTTATAAACCTTTCTTACCATGCATCCCACTACATGCCTATGCTTATTGTTGATTGCAAGAAGAACATTTCTTTATTAGCATGAGCGAGAACCATTTCTAGAGGCGGAACCTTTGCCATCTACAGTCCCCACCTTTAGAAAAAGAATCAAAATCAATTGAAAAATAGCTATGAGAGCTTTGCAATGAATATTTAGACCCCTAAGTGATCTTAAATAAACAAGTTGTCAACTACAAGTTATAGATCATATCAATAAATACAGTTTTGAAATTGACCATGTCAATATCTAGGACTTTCAAAAATTAAAAAAAATTAAATTTGAAAAGCTAAGAACTTAAAACTATTATTTCAGTCTCCAAACTATCTAAATTTTAAAAGTTGCAGATGGCATCGAAACCTGCAACTTTCGTATAGACCATGCCTCCATGCATGGTCATTTTGAAAAATTATAAAAAAAATGAATTTCAACATCAGAAGTTCAGAACATAAAACTAATATTTGGGCACCTAAACCTTTTGAAATAAAAGGTTGTCAACTACAGATCGAGTTACAGATCGCGTAGAGTTCTGTAATTTTGATTTAAAGTTTATCTTCATTGACTTTATATAAAAAAAACTATGAATTTATTTACCCATCAACTATTTATAAAGGCAGACTTCTTAAGAAACTTCTTATAAAAATAATTCTATTTCTAGGGCCGTCTCTAAAATTCAGTGGCTATTGACTATTGAGCCTCTAATTATTTTGAGAAACGGATGCTTTTGTAAATAGCAGCGGAAATAAAAATATGCTGTCTCGTAAAATGTTTTTTGTAGGAATGCTGGACTGCAGTGACTCCGTTCCGGCCGGCCCATCATCTCGGCCTTCGCCTCCGTCTCGGGCCGTGTCCAACGAGTATTCCAGCGCCGTGCCGCATCGATCTTAGGAAAATACAAGCACGATTAACGGAACCTGGCCAGGACAACTGGATCCATGATTACACTCATTACTCCATCAGTTCACATCGCGCCAAATTATCTACTCAGCTTGCACACGTTCATGGGTCGCCTCGCCCGATCAATTGCACCGTACCATTGAATAGATGCCCTATTATTCTAGTCCTCGAGCCAAGAAACTTGCATGGTAGGAGCAGTATACTAGCATATATATGCATCGACGATCGATGGAATCCCTTGGATCGAGATGTGTACTTGTTGGTAGGATCTGTCGCTTGCTTCCTGTTCATGTTGACTGTATAGGATGGGCAATCTTTTCGGGCCTTGTACATCGGAGAATCGACTACGCAAGCCTAGGTCAACTATATACTGTATGATGTTGCTCTAGTTTAATTTTGCCAGTCCACCTCTCGTTGTTTGCGACTTCGAGTTTACTGCATCGCTGAAAGAAAATGCCTACAGTGCCTGGTGACAGCCTCAGGCTATGCAGGCGTTGAATCTTAGGTCGCCGACTCGCCGGTAGCCGTAGGGAGGGTGGTGGCAGCGCGACCATCGAGCTAGCCGTGGAGCAAGTACGAGTCAAACACTCTGAGCCGCTTAACGGTTTTAATAAAATGAACTCTACTCGCTAGGTCACAGACTCACAATAACACGATCAGTGAACAAGTGTATGGGGCTCGAGCGTTGGCGTTGCTGTGCTTTGATCAAACTGCACCGACGAGAAGAAAGTAATACTCCAAGCGTTGGCGTTGCTGTGCTTTGTATAAGCAACTCATAATCCAAGCAGTAAACGCCTGATCAAGTGTTGACATCTTCTAGTGTAGATTGTAGAATATGCCACGTGATGTGATTTGTTTTCCTTTTTCGGGACCAAAATTGATGAAGAATTGTGGAGTAGTAGAGCAGTGACTTGCAGCAAACGATTGATGTTCACATGATAGGGTTCAGCTGGGTCCTGTCCTGTTACTTGCAGTATTTCCGTATCGTGAATCTGAAGTCCAACAGAGATAGATGGCGTAATGTCCCATGGGCCATGGAGTATGACTGTATCACTGTAGTCGATGGGAATCTCTAGCTCTCGTTATTAGGCTCTTAATTTTACCAGAAACCAAAGCAACTGCAAGCTAGTAATTAATTCCAGAGACTTCTACAGTGCTTCATCAATCAATTGGCATCAGAATTAAATTAGTTTTTCAAGAAATCGCATCTGAGAGAAAAAGATACTAATGGTTTCTTTATCGTTGTGGTCAACAGTACGTGCCATCCAGATTACAGAATTCTCTCCTGATCGGATCTCGTCGCACATGGAAAGCCGATCTCCCAGCCCAACGCGGAAACCCTGAAAGATCGCGTCCATGCACGACCCCCCACAGCTATAAATACCCATGCAACGCAGCGGGTTATCATCCACCTCGACTCACTCACTGCACCGAGCTCACGGGCAATGGCTACCAACACCAAGCTCGTGGCCCTTGGCTTTGCCGTCCTCCTGAGCATCGGGTTCTCCAATGCAGCGAGGGTAGTTAGGCTTGGTAGTCATGCAGAGGCCGGAGGTGGAGGTGGCGGTGGGGGAGGCGGCTCCGGGTCGACTGGGGGTGGCTATGGCGGCGGGTCTGGCGGCGGCGGTGGTTTTGGCATAGGCAAGGGTTTCGGGGACTGGTGGAATAATGTCGTCTCCAGTGTAGCAGGCGGTGGTGGAGGAGGACAAGGCGGAGGAGGTGGCACTAATGGTGGATCCGGGTCCGGGGGTGGGTCCGGCTATGGTTCTGGCAGCAGTTCGAGTGCAGCCTCTGGCCCCAGCAGTGGTAACTACGCCAACGCTGAGGGCAAGGGCGCCGGTGGAGGCATGGGCGGTGGTGCCAATGGCGGCTATGGTACTGGAGCCGGTGGAGGCGTTGGCAAGGGCCAGGGTGTGAGTGGCGCGGCATTGGCACCAGGGTCCGATGGCTACTACAATGGCGGTGCCGCTGATGCTACCGGTGGTGGTTCCGGCGCTGGCGGTGGACATGGCGGTGGCGCAGCAGGAGCTCCAAGCTACGGAACTGGAGGTGGCCTCGGCGGAGGCAAGGGTGAAGCAGGCAGCGACGGTTCCTGGGGTTCAGGTTATGCGGAGGGAATCGGTGCCGGCACGGGCGGCGGTGGCGGCGGCGGATCCCAAGGGGGCTCTGGTGGCGGTGGCGGTTCTGGGTCTGGATCCGGCAGCGGTGGAATCCACTGAGTTTTCCTTCTCGGAGCAAGCTACAGCAGCTGGAGCTAGCCCAGCAATAGTGTCAGCCCATTTTGGTGTTGTTCGTGTAACTGAGTTTTCCTTGAGAGTTGGTGGTTTTCGCTTTCTTTGTTACAAGAATTAGTCAGGAATAATGGGTTTCGTGATTGTAGTTCGAGTAGGTAGTCCAGCATGCAACTGACTGACATGTAATGGCTATCTACGAGTATGCATATCGTCATCTTTTGCTGTGCCCCTTGTTGTAATCTGTTTCTCATCGATCGTTAGAGGTCGTTGCTGCCGGTTTTTATCTTCCAAAACAAAAATATATTGGAACTCTTGCAGTCTCTTGCTACCGTTGAATGTTACAAGAGTATTGACTAGCTATCATAGTATTTGTACAGTTGTTGCCATCGGGTTTTATTTTCTAAATGAACGGCAGAGTCCTAAGAGCATAGAATCTTTAATCAAATAGACTCAACTAATAATTAAGAATAACTTACAAAATAACTTGACAAGAGGGCTTTTGGAAACGAGAAATGATGTAACATGCACGTATGAGAAATTACTTATCAATAAATATAAAGAAGCAACAATTAAAGTATTGATCTCTCATGCTATTTCTTAGCTTGTTGTTCACAAATTCATGGCCGAAAATGTCGTTCCAACACTTGATGCGGTTGCAACTGGCAGCTTTAGCACTAATTGAAGCTTGTAGACCATGAATGTTTGACCAATTCGTTTCAACAAAGCAAGACTTAAAGATCAACGATATTCATAAATTTTGTAAATCTTTCATCACTACACACATCAATTGTGAAGTTATCAAAGTTGATAAGATCAACACCTTTTGTCGGTGATTGAGAAGTCTTTGAAATAACAATTAGCAAGTTTTACCAAGTTCTACTTGTGGAAATAAGCAAATATGAATCATTGGGATTGAATGAGGACATTTAAAGAAAAGCAAAGAAGCGTTCACTTCATGAAACCTATTATTGCACTCTTTATTATGCCTATCCTTGAAACTAAAAAACATGTGAACTATCTCTTCAAAAAAAACATGTGAACTATGAAATGATGATGATTTGTGACTTTGACATAGCACCTCTTTGATCTCCCAATTTACATGGATATACCATATAACATGTGCTTCAAACAAAGAGAAGTGACATCAGCAAGAAATCTCTCGTATATATCCACCATCCTTGCGCTATAGTTCAAGTTGAGTCTTTGTCAAAGATATGAGTGAAACAACATTAAGAATATCTTGAACCCTTTTTTGCCAAGCACAATTGAAGTCATCTGTATACCGAAATATGGTGACAAATGTCAATATAATATCCAATTTGATGGAGCAATTGTTGGATTGAACGATTCATATATAATAATAGCATGTTGTATCATTTTGTAGTGATATTCTCGAGAGCTATTAAATCACACCCTGATTGCCAACTACCTAAGCCATTCTGGAGCTTGGTCAAACCAAGAATGAAAAGGTTCAGAACTGGATGCCATCCTCGCACATGACAACAATGTGCCACAGTATTGGCCTCCCGACGTACAAAAGAAAAAATTAGACAAAGAAAAGTTTTTCCTAGATCTTGAATCTCATGCCAAATTCCTGCAATAGGCAATCTACAATCTAGTGACTTTAGTAGATTCACCAGTGGTATGTTGTCGACTTCCACGGTCACCCTTGAAAGGATCTATGGATGGCTATGTTGGCCCTCATTTTTAGAGTCCTAAGTGCATCCGTACTTGCGCCAGGATCACACATAAGTACGCACAAATTACATACACAGATATATAATAAAAGATTCTGAGCTTTATTGATATCTAAAAATAGGGACTTACAGTAGTGGCCCAAAGGGCCATCATCTTAGGCTTACAAATCTAGCGAAATACTACGGCCGTAAAATGGCATTATTCCTGGTTATCTCTAGAGCAGTATTATTATACAGCGAAGCGGTGTCCTATTCCACAGGCAACTTGAGCGCGGTAGAAACCCTAGCCTCGATGTCGTACTCCTATGAACGTATTTCCTTGCGTGACTCCTAATCCTCGTGGTACATCTCCTCATCGAAGTCATAGTCTTCTTCCATGCCAAAGTCTGTTAGTCAACAACAGATGAGTACATACGTCTTAGCAAGCCCTAACCATAGGGTGGAAATTGAAGTGTAGTGGTGATTATAATTAAAGGTTGGGTCCTAGCGGAGTATTACCAATCCCACTAGTTCTCAAGTTAACATCAATCCCATTACCAGTTTCGTTACACATAAAAGTAAATCTAATCATAGTATCACATCCTAGCATTTGCCTATTCCAAGGATGTGGCTATTCGAACAGGTTTACTTAACTCTACAGAGGTGTATAAATTTCCCCACACGATAGGTGCAACCTCATCCAAGATCAGTGGACGAAATAGACCTAACGAGACCCCGTACTTGAATGTACGCGACCTTAGATGTCCATATAATTCTACTACAGCTTCTCAGGGGTTGGAAACACACATAAACCGGGAGGATACCTAATCGTCCCAACATGATGATACCTAATCATCACAATAAGTAACAACATGGCTTGAACACGGCCAAAACAATAATCATGGGCTCGAACACGGCCAAGATCTCAAAATCTTAACATGGAAGATCAAATAGCATCCACGCCAACCGGACCATGGAAGAAAACCTATCCCCCGTGTCTGCTCCTGATATTCCGCTGCCTACACCGACCTCCTAGTAGAAATTATACTTCTATCTAATGGGGTGTGAGATCAAGCCTACCCATATAGGCATGTGGTTGTACGTAATATCTCACTAGGCGAGAGGGACTATGAACCGGTCCTTATATGACCGAGGCGAGTATCTCCCATAGGAATCCTCTCCAGGCATCCATGTCATGGTAAACGCCATTTTGGCCTAGTCCCACCCAATAGAGAGAGAAGAGAGGGGGATAGGGAGACAGCGGCCGGGTAGAGTCCACCGGTGCCTTACCGGAATAGGGGAGAGGGCTCGGGCTCACCGAGGTAAGCTACGCCGATGGCGTCGGGCCCCGGTGGAGGTGTTTGAGGGGTGGACGGTGCTCTAGGAGGCTCGTCGCGGCCGGTGGTGAGGTCAACGATGGCAGTGAGTACCCGAGGCGACGGTGGTGCCTCGCCGGAGCCAGTGCGGCGGTGGCGAGCGGTGAAAGTGCTCCTAACGAACCTATCCTACTTAACCAACTATATGTGCATGTGTGTGAGGAGTGTAGTAGAGGTGGCATGATGACCAACCGAGCCTTGCCGATGGCTAGCCGGCGGCCATGGTGGCTCGGTGGTGCATGGCGCACGGGGACAACATAACATAGAGGCGAGAGAGGGAAACTAGCTACACCAGAAGGTGGGAAAGGATCTAGGGAAACTCACCTGCCACTCCAATTGGTCGGGAACGCAGCGAGATGGGAAGAAGAAGAAGAAGAAGGCTCCAATGGCATCGTCGGTACCCGATTTGGGGGAAATGGACCTAGCGCCCCACGAATAGGGAGAAGGGGAGAACAGAGGGGAAGATGGTATGCTCTCACTCACGACAGAGCTCATAGCAGTGATGGTTGAGGCGGAGGCTCACTGACCGGGCTTTTTATAGGCCAGCAAGGTCGGTGGTGGCGGTGAGATATTTTCACCTCACGCATGTGCCCGAGCTCAGTAATGGTGAGCTGGACGCCTCCGCGTCCGTTCATACTCCAGCAAGGTTGGCGCAATGCATGGTCACGTTGGTGGGGTTCCTTTGCCGACTGCCCTATCGGCGTTGACGCGTTGTGGACATAGAGAGGAGGGAGAGGGGAGATGGGATGGCTCGGGGCGTTGTCAACCCCATGACTATGTGCTCATCTTCCCTGGCACCGAGATGGGCCACTGCGGGGCTGGTACGGCGGCGCGGACATGGACTCCACGTGGGGAGGAAGACAGAGCTGATAGTCGGCCCCCACCTATTAGTGAGGAGAGGGAAGACGGGGACGCGGGTTGCTACCGTGGTTGCATTGGGTAGAAGGGTTGCGCTGTAGGCCAGAAGGAGAGTGGGAGGGAGCCTAGTAGCTCTTTTCTATTTTCTTTCCCTTTTCTATTTTCCATATTTCCTATTAAGCTATTTTGAAATGGTTTGAATTCAAATTCAAATGCAACTTTGAAAATAAAGTACCACCGTATGTTCCACAAGCAAGCAAACACTCAAGCACACAATCCTAAACATATAATTTCTAATTTCTATGTTGGCCCATTTATACTAGGTTAATTAATTGTATATGCTAGTTCCTATGCAAAGTTTTAAAAAATTCAAATTTTTAGTGATTTTAAAACTAGGTTAAAATTTAGGGTGTTACAAACCTACCCCTTAAAAAGAATCTCATCCTCGAGATTCGAACTGATCCTCAAATAGATAGGGAAGTTCCTTTTTGAGATCATCCTCTCTTTCCCCTATCTTTTCCATAGGTTAGTACGCAGGCTCGCAACATGTCTCCTAATATCTGGTTTACTCTTTCTATCTATTCGTCGGTTTATGGATGATAGGCTGAGCTATAATCTAGGCGTGTTCCCAAAGCTTTATGTAAGCTTTTCCAAAATTAGGCTATGAATTGAGTTCCTCTATCTGAAACGATTTGGCTTGGTACCCCATGTAATCTAAGGATGTTGTCGATGTATAGCTGTGCTAACTTGTTACCCTTGTAATCGGTCCTTACTGGAATAAAGTGTGCCACCTTCATCAATTGATCTATTATAACCCATATTGAGTCATGTCCATTTGGTGTCTTGGGCAATCCTACTATGAAGTCCATGCTGATTTCATCCCATTTTCGTACTGGGATGTGCAATGGTTGAAGTAGTCCCGCTGGTCGTTGATGTTCTGCCTTGACTTGTCGACACGTATCGCATTGGGCAACATATTCTGCGATATCTCCTTTCATTCTGGTCCACCAGTATTTTTGTTTGAGGTCCATGTACATCTTGATTGATCCTAGGTCCATGTACATCTTGATTTGTC